ATATTGGCCCTGCCATTTACTGCCTGCGTGACCTTGGCAAAGTCACTTAATAACAATACACTTAGTAACAACAATATTTAACCTTTAAATACTGATTGCTATCAGTGATTGCAGGCACTATGTTAAGTGTTTTAAAATTATTATCTCATTTGGTCCCCATAACTACCCTGGGAGGTAGGTACTATTACCCCACTTTACAGATGAGGAAACTGAAGTGAGAAGTGAAGTGACTTGTGCAGGGTCACACAGCTAGGTAGTGTCTGAGGCCAGGAAGACTCTTATCTGCTGTGCCACCTACCTTCCCCCTCCCTGAGCCTTAGTGTTAGTGTGTTTAAAAAAAGAAAGAATAAGGGCCAGCTAGGTGGTGCAGTGGATAGAGCACCGGCCCTGAAGTCAGGAGGACCTGAGTTCACATCTGGCCTCAGACCAACACTTGACATGTACTAGCTGTGTGACCTTGGTCAAGTCACTTAACCCCAATTGCCTTACCAAAAAAAAAAAAAACAAAAAAAAAAAAGAGAAAGAATAGACACTTACTAGCTGTGTGACACTGTTCGAGTCACTTAAGCCTAGTTACCTCACCAAAAAAGAAAAAGAGAGAGAGAAAGAACAACTAGATGGTTTCTGATCTGTTTAGATTGTTTTTATGTTTTGTTTTGTTTTTTTTTTGAGGCAAAATTTGAGTTAGGTTGATGAGATTGGTCCATTGTGGTTTGGTGGGTGGAAAGGGAAATAAATCTGCTAAGGCTTTCTGTCTCAGGCCAAAGGGTTAATATCTTGTCTTAGAGCAGGGCAAGGCTTCTCAACCTTGTTTGTGTTTTGGACCCCTCTGGCAGTCCAGCGACCGCTAGGGAGCCCCTTGAGCCCCACCCCCATCATGTTTTGTTTATTGTCTAGATTCATCAGAGAAAAAAATACTAAATGTAATTCACGTGTTAATGAAAAATAGAAATAAAATAAATATATGTACCTCATTTTCTTCATCCAAGTTCACAGATAAGTCAGCAATCATTTATTAAGTACCTACTGTGTGCCAGACCCTGTGCTAAGTTCTGGGGATAAAAAAAAAAAAAGACAGAAACAGTCTCTGCTCTGCAGATCTATCCATAGGAGTCATCTCTGGGCCCTAGGTTAAGAATGTCTATCCTACAGGCATCTGGAGCCATGGAAGATTTTTGAGCAGGGGAATATCATAGTCTGACCTACATCTTAGATTTTTTTTTTCTTTAGTGAGACAATTGGGGTTAAGTTACTTGCCCAGGATCACATAGCTGGTACGTGTCAAGTGTCTGGTCTGGGACTGGATTTGAACTCAGGTCCTCCTGACTCTGGGCCTGGTGCTCTAGCCACTGCGCCACCTAGCTGCCCCAGAACTTTTTTTTTTTTTTTGACGGACAAATGAAGGGTAGACTGGAGCAGGGACTGACAGCACCCCAGGGAAGCAAAAAGCTGTTCTTGTCTTCTCTAGCAAGTTGACCAACCTGTATTTTATATCCAGAGATTTGGAAGTTGATTTTGGAAGATGCACCAGTATAGTGCTATTGCTGCATTGAATTGTTACATCCCCCTGTGTGTTAGAACTGAGAGCCTCAGTTCCTTTCTAATAGTGCTCACCGTTACCTTTTTTCCCCTAGATGCTAACTACTTCAGCTAAGGGGGATGGGACTTGATAAGAAAACAGTTAACAAGCTTACCTTTATGAGATATTTGTGTATGTGTGTATGCATATGTGTATATGTATATATGTATACATGTATACATATGTGCATGTGTATATTGTATGTGTATATATGTCTATATGTATTGGGGTGTGTGTGTGTGTGTGTGTGTGTGTTTGTATTCCCCCACACCCAAATCTATTATCTTTTTTCCCCCTCCTCATTATCTGGGGGCCTTTTGCCAGATACAATTGGCCTGTGATTAACAGATTCCTGACAAAGCCCCAGTATAAAGAACATCTGCATTCATTCTCCTGTTATCTGCAAGGCCTTCTGAGGCAATCCAAAATCAACCTCTTTTTTAACCCTTTCTTTTCTGGCCTTTGCTCTGGCTGGCTGCCTATGCCTTTATCTTACTGGATCTTAACAATCTTGAAAAGGGGATTGTTATGGTGACCAAGAAGTTAAATCCAATGAAGTGCTGAGGTTAGTAGGCTAAGTCTAGACAGAAATCTGCTGTGGTTTAAAGATATAAAGCCTGATAATCTCTCTGGTGGCTTAAAGCAAACTTTAAGGACTGTTTTCCCATTCCTTTACCTGTCTTTGCTTGGGAAGAAATTGACACCAATCCCAGAGATTTTCTGGGACCAGAGCAGTCTAGACTGGCCTGGTAAACAAAAAGAGGACTGAGGACAGAACTATGTAAAAAGCTGCTGCTAAGAGATAAAAGAGTTGGGTTCCAGAGGAAACTTCTCTATCCTGAACCATCGATGAACCAGTTCAACCCTATATTACACTAAAATCCCTTGCCTCCTTGTCCTATGACATCTTATTTCCTGCCATGCCCCAACCCAAATCCCACCATTCACGACCTTCCCTCTTATTCTTATGTTGCTGAACAGAGATGCAGAAAATAATGGCACCATACTGCTTAAGTGGGACCTCACTGCAGTAGGGCAGTCCTTTTACACCTCTTTAATTAATTTACTGTCCTATTCATCACAGAGACTTTTCCATATGTTTTCAGCCTTCCTCAAAGTTCCCTAGTTCTCCCTACCCCCCCCCCCCCATCCTTTTCAATGACAGCTTTGCCTCATTCACTGAAAAAATGGAGACCATTCTCGGACAAGATCCTTTTCTATGCCCATACTATTCAACCTCACCTAACTCGAATGAGAAGTAACCCTTCTCCTTACTAAGGCCTCTATGTATACAGCTGATATCATCCTATCCCATCTTCTCCAGCAGATTGCACCTATCTCACAGGACTGTTATGAGGATCAAATGAGATAATATTTATGGAGCAGTTAACACACTGCCTGGCACATAGTAGGTACTATATAAATGCTAGTTATTATTATTAATAATTATTACGAATTTATTATTAATTATGAACAATTAATTATTACATAGTAATTATATTAAATAAATACTCATAATGATTATTAATTATTTCTCTTTCACTAATCTTCAAATTCTTCTTGTCTTTCCTGCTGTCTGCAAACAAGCTCCTATCTCCCCTATCTTTGAAAAAACCCTCACCTGATCTGTCTCTCCCTTTCATGGCCAAACTGCTTAAAAAGACTGTACGATTAAAGCCTCTATTTCCCTTCCTCTTATTGTCTTCTTAATTCTCTGCAGTCTGGCTTCCAACCTTATCATCCCACTGAAAAGGCTTTCTGTCCCAAGTTACCACTTTCAACTAAGTGGGCTATCCTTAATTCTCGTTTTTCCTGACCTTGCTACCACAGTTGACACTGGCAGTCACCGTCTTCTTCGTGATTCCCTCTCCTCTCTTGAGGTTTTTGTGACCTCACGCTCTCCAGATTCTCCCCCTAACTCTCAGA